CCCAAGACCCCAGCAGGAGTAGTTGAAGAGGCTACACAATAGAGGGGCTCTGTCCCTCCCCCATCAGCTGTTGACAGTTGCCAGCTCTCAGGGTGGGGGGCTAGGACTGGGATGAAGGGGGGTCCAGCAGCCTCCTGGGAGACTGCTGGAGTGCCCCCACCTGGTGGCCTGGGCCAGCGTGGATAGGCTCCATGCCCACCACACCCAAGAGGTGAAAGCCAGTTGAGATCAATGACATTCTAACACATGGCGCTTCGTGTAAAGTGCCATAGTTAGACCACCTACCCGGTGGACTGCCTGCACTTCTGTACACACCCTAAGAAAAATAAAATAAAGTATTGCCTTTCTAATAGCACTCAAGTCAGTTGCTAAATATACACATGGGAGGGTCTTTCATTAGGAGTGAAGGAGGATAGAATCATTTACAACTCTGGTTGGACTGAGATGTATAAATAGGGTTTACTAGGGTTGGTTTAATTCATAGTTCAAACAACATGAATTATTTATTCTTCCTTTTTCTTTTCTCAGGAGGATTCTGAAAATAATCTGTGTAAAGATACTGCAAAGGTGATAGGAATAGACAAGGCCTCCCAGGATGGATTCAAGAAAGAAATTCCAAGCTATTTACCTGGTTATAATCCCAATGAAAAATCCTACACTAACCCAAGCTTAGACACAGAAACGCATTTCTAACATATGATTTGGAAAATAACATAATTTACTATGGCAATGAAACTGCATTGCTCCAGCTTTGAAAAACAAGGACCATCCCTGTCTGTTGCATTCTACAAAGTTGTAGATGACTAGTGCCACATCATGTTACTTAAGAAGACGAACTCAGGTTTTATTTATGAAATACATTTAAAAAACAAGGCATCCATTCTTAGGAGACAATGAAATGCTGTGAATCCTGTTATTTCAAAAGAAATATAGAAGGGAGTCATAAAATGTTAATACCCACATTGTGGCTGTATTTTATATATTCTGGCACCTACAATTTGGAGACTTCAACTACCCAGGGGGGGGATTCTTTAAGTTTCATCCTGGACATGTTTATTTTTGCTGCTGGCATTAGTGATGGCTATGTCCCAGTGGTGGCTGAGAGGATTTCTGTTTGATTTGTACAGTATGCAAAAGGTAAAGAGCTTTGGGATCAGAGGTATTTTGTTTAATTATCCTAGTCATTAGCCAACATGCTGTAAAAGGATGTACGTTCAAATAGCCTCAGTATCCAACTCTTCTATTAGCTGTTTCATTCAGACCCTCATTTGAGCAATGACCAAAGTCCCTAGCTAGTAAAAATGATTTAAACATGAATGAGATTTTTGAAAAGCAGTCCAAGAGGTTTAAGAGCTTCTGGAAATCTTATTTCATGTCTAGGCAGCATGGATCAAGCTGAAAAATGGCATGTCTTTCCCAATGCATAAAGAAGAGTTAAACTGGAACAATACCTTTATAGATTTCTAATCTCAAAATATCTGAAACACTTCCCATTCATCCACTAATCATTTACAGCTGAGATTAATGCATTATTAAGACTATTAATTCATACTCCCTTTCTGGCAGGCTAGGAGTATTTCACAATGCCTCCTTTTAAACAATGGAAGGGAATAGTGACTTTTAGGTAGGATCCCAGATGTCTGTGTATGAGTGTGTTTGTATACACACACATATATGTATACACACACACACACACACACACACACCACTATTTCTAAGACCAACCCTCATTTATTGGTATATGAATATGGGAACAAATCTTAGAAAGAGTGGTTGTATATATCTATATGGCGGATAGGTGTGTGTGCATGTATACACACTCTTTGTAAGACTAAGCCTCATATACATATAATGGTGAAAGTTGTTCTTAGAAAGCGTGTGTGTATATATTTATGTGGGTGCCTCTACACATACAATTAGTACAGAGCAATAAACTCTGGTGTGCATGTACATATATGGATGTATACACATATACATATATATACACATGTGCAAAGTGCTGCACAAGTATAAAGTGCTGCACCTGGGCAAAAAGAACCACCAACACACTTATAGGATGGGGGATGACCTTCTCAGCAGCACAGCAGTGGAAAAGGATCTTGGAGTCATAGTTGACTCCAAGATGAACACGAGTTGTCAATGTGATGAAGTGATCAACAAAGCTAACCACACTTTATCATGCATTAGCAGATGCATGATGAACAGGTCCAGGGAGGTGATGCTTCCCCTCTATGTGGCACTGGTCAGGCTGCAGTTGGAGGATTCAGAGGAGGGCCACTTGTGTGGTCAGAAGCCTGCAGGTAAGGCCCTATGAGGAGAGACTGAGGGGTCTAGGTCTCTTCAGCCTTTGCAAGAGAAGGCTGAGAGGTGATCTTGTGGCTGCCTATAAATTCATCAGGGGAGGGCAGCAGGGAATAGGATATGCTGTATTTTCTAGGGCACCCCCTAGAGTAACTAGGAACAATGGCTACAAATTGACAGAGTGCAGATTTAGGTTGGACATTAGAAGGAACTTCTTCACAGTAAGGGTTGCAGAATCTGGAGTGGGCTTCCAAGGGAGGTGGTGCTCTCCCCTACCTTGGTGGTCTTCAAGAGGAGACTGGACAAGCACTTGTCTGGGGTCGTCTGACTCCAGCACTCTTTC